GAAGCAGTGTGGAAATCGGAAGATGATCAGATATATCACAAAACATTAGCCCGCTAACAGATAAGTTCTTTAAATTATTCGTGAAAATATTATCAATTAGCATAGCAGTGTTAGAAGTTATTCTTGTCGGAGGTGTGATCAATGGAAAAAACATTTTTGAATACATAGTTTCTAACAATTAACCAGTTGTGTCGTGACAATGGTGGTTGATTAAGTCTAGATTCCAGTCACCTAAAACATAGCAAATCTTGTTTTCCTTAGAGATACTTGCAAGCAACGAATCCTGGCTATTCATAAAATCTTGCAAATTTTGATTTGGTGGCCTGTAAACCGCACCTACAATTATATTTTTCTCTTTCAACCTATTGATTTCCACAAACAAAGACTCAGCACATTCAGTGCAAGAAAAAACTAAGTCAGGTCGACATTTCAAATCAAAATTGTCCTTTAAATATAGACCTACACCTCCACCTGTCCTATCTTTACGTGGATTGTGGACAAAATTATAACCTGAAATATCGGTATGATGCGATGAGTCTCGAAGCCAGGTCTCAGTTATACCAATAAAAAAGAACCTCAACTCTAGATTCTTTAGCAAAGTGGTTAAGCTATCCAAATTACGATGAAGGCTACGAATATTAAGATGCAGAAGCGATAAACAATTATTGACTTCTAATATATTTTTCTGATGCAACATATTTCATTGAAGTTTTCTTCGGTATAGTATTCGCAGTCAACTAACTCCGAGAAGAAATTAGCATCAGGATCATGATGGCTACAAATGCTAAATTTTTTTATAGGTTTCGGATAATAAAGGATTAAACCTGAGGATTAAACCGGGATCGTAACGTATAGGTCCATTTAACTGCTCAAACATAGCCAAACGAAAGTCTTCTTCGTTTAAATGCTAATAAACGGTAATTCTTCCATCAATGAGTCGAACAAAAAACATCGTGTAATATACTTATCTTAATCATTTGAAGAACCGGAGGGCTTATCACGAATGATCAAGCGATCTAAGATAAAATATGCTGATTTTCCTACTTGCTTGGCCGCCTTGAGCTTTTCCAAATAAGGTTTCCTCTTTTCAAGCGTCGCTTGCGAAAGATCTTCGCAAATAAACAGTCCTTCTGGTTTTTCCTTTCTTGCCTTTCTTACTCCCCTTCTTTATGCTTCCAACTACTCAGTCGGCACGCAATAACTCTAGGCTTTGCATCAGCTTGGTGTTGATTGATTCCTCCAGACTTTCTACGCTCAACACGGTGAGCGCGCTCGATGTCAACTTCAATGTTGAGCTTCTCCTTGATGGCGTCCCTCACTTTCGTTTCAGCTATTTCCCTAGTCTCGCCAGCCGATTCTGGTATACCGAATACTATGATGTTGTTCCGTCTGCTTTGGTTTTCCTGGTACTCTATTTTGTTTCCCTGAAGCTCCACAGTGTTTTTGATTTCAACAATATCCTTTTCGGCACCCACGAGCTTCGATTTTATGGACGACAAATCTCCCACATCCTTTTGTGTAAATTCAAGGCTTGCTTTGAGAGACACGACTGAGTCTGCTAACTTATCGACTCTTGCATTGACAGTGGAGATAAAGGAATCGAAAAGCGTTTTTTAAAGCATGGACTGCTGAACATCAAGTATTTGCTTCAGTGTAGCAATGGAGACCAATTCTCCTTCATCTTTAAGAGTTTCCAAGTTCAATTCGTCCGCTGCAGCATCAGACGATTGATGTTTCTTTGGTTCCCCATGAAGATAATTCCTCTGTAAATGTTTAAACTAAGACAAAATACTAATAGAAATGTTTAAGCTAAGACAAAAATCCAATAGAAGAAATGCAAAGAGAAAAAACATTACAAATTGAAGGAGCTGAAAAATACACGTCCGCTCCCATGCGAGTATTTATCTTCTTCAAGTGGTAAGTGTGACATATTATGTCAGCTTATATGTAGGGGCAAAACGACTGGTGTTTCATCTGAGCCCGCGAGATGGTCATGTGATAATTGTCAGAGGATGTCTCATTCTGACAGCTGTCAATCTAATCGTACTCATACGGATGGCTTATATAACTGAAAGGCTAGTCAAGTTGTGCAAGATCTATTGTGACATTTGATATTGGCTTACATAAAGTGTGTGTACGGGTTGGCGGGCGGGAACGCGTACTCTACGTCATAACCAAATTTTCTCGGATGGATAGTTTACCAAATTTTGTTACCCATGGTGTTCCGCTGCGCGCGCCTTGCGCGCGCGAGAGCTCCGCTAAAAAGCGTGACCATGCTAAAAGCACATCCTTAAAATTATGTTTTTCAGTCCCGGGTTTTCAGTCAAACAAATGGAATTTAAGAGGCAGTCTCAGTAAAAACCGCCCACTCAATTTCGCGTGAAAAATAATTTTGCCTCGAACTCTGGCAAGTGAAAGGCTTTTTCGAGATTATAACTAAAATAGGTTTGCTTTGATTCACAATAATTTTCTGGCCGCGCTGGGGGGCGCCGAGTATTTTGTCCCGCCGCGTCCAGTTTGCACGTCTTGAAAACTGAAAATTTGGCATTTTTTGCGGCGCTGTAAAATGTTCAATTTGCACCATCTGCCAATGAACTTTATACCTATTTATAGGTAAACAAATCTAGTTTTTTCTGAAAGTAATAGTTGTTCGCTAAATCTAGCTAAAAAGACGAAATCAAGCAAAATATGACCCCAACTAATTGCCTTGAAGGGAAAGTCCAAAAATGATCCTGGTTTAAACGCTTATTTCTATCGTTTGGGACCTTTATAACAATCGTTAAATTGTATCGGCTACAGTAGTCTAATATGTTGTTTTTGGACCCCTTTAATGCGTTCCCTTGCGTTCCGTGTCCGTTTCCTTAATTAATATGTATAAGGGTCGAGCCCATGACGTCACCCATTGTTTTTAACCTAGGGAAAAAATGCGTTCCTCCATTCTAATTAAGCGCCTAGTCAGTGTAAAGCTAGCTAGGTAAAAATGCGTTCCTCCATCTAATAATTGTCTTCCTGCATACTAATTCGGTATAGGTTTACTAATGAGCGAATACTACAATAGGCACAATAGGCTTGCCTCGGCTTGCCCGTTAATAACTTGAGCTCGGTTTTCGGACCGTCTATTAAAAGGAAAATAGGAATAAGAGAAGCGATCACCTAGGAAAAACAATAAAAATGAGGAGGAGGAGGAGGAAGAGGGAATAAAAAAAATTGAGGAATAAAATTTTGGAGGAGGAGGTGGAGGAAAACTATAGAAATGTAGTGGCGGTGGTGGTGGTGGTGGTGGTGGAGGGAAAATAATGGAAATGTGGTGGCGGTGATAGTGATGGAGGGAAAATAGAAATGTGGTGGCGGTGGTGGTGGTGGTGGAGGAAAACAATAGAAATGTGGTGGCGGTGGTGGTGGAGGGAAATAATAGAAATGTGGTGGCGGTGGTGGTGG